TGGAATTCTTCCCGAACTTATCACCTGAAATCTACCCCTCCCTTAGTTCCCCTGAATGTCACTGGACGTCAGCGTCCCTAAGCAATCCGGAGAGCGTTTCGTGTCTAAAAGGTGTGTGTTCGGCCCACCCCTGTGCCCTGAGTAATCTGCTGAGCTGGCCAGCCCTGCACTGGATTATCCTCGTGTGCAGCGAGCCTTACAACCATTGGCTGATCCAGAGGCAACCCAACGTCCGCCCCCAAGTGACTCCAGGAATTATTTTACGTCGCAGCCGGACGACATCTCAGCCAATGGTTTCCCCTACCGGTGTTTATTTAATGACGCCCGGTTCTCGTCTCCCACTTAGGGCTGGCCTGCCCTTCAGCACCCATCTAACAACGCAGCAAGCCAAATAAAGGACAAGCAGCAAAGCATGCGTGCTCTACTCCCGGTGGGTTGGCATGGTGACCGTGACCCAGTGCTTCGTCCAGGGCCCTTCAGAAGCTCCGCCCATCTTCTCCCAGATGCTCCACGTGAACATTGCCGACTCTCAAGGTTGAGCGGACTCGACACTTCACAATGAGAGGACTCTCAAGAAGGAACACGGTAAGAAGTGTCGAAGAGGGTAGATAAGGTTAAGAGCAACGTACCTCAAATAGCTGCCCCCAACCACAGAGATAATCTCACCAGATAACCAGATGCCGATTGTGATGACCAGTCGTTGCTTTGGCACAGCCAGCATTGCAAGCCGTTCCACCTTGGCACCAATCGCACATTAGATAGTTCTCATCACACTGTCCAACACCCACATTACACCACGTAGCCTTCCTGGCGATCCCCTCACCTCGTGGGTCGCCTATCACTCGTCTCCGCCCTCCTCACTACACACCACTTACGGCCAAACTCGCCAAGCAGACCGCATGTATGTACTGCATAAGGAAGAAGACAAGCGCCAGATGAGCGCAATCGTACCACAGCTCCGACACCAAATTGCAAGGAAGATGAGCAATAGCGAACTTCAGCAATCAAACAGCATCATATACAGAAGACCAGATAGTCGTGACCTCGAACCAACAGCAGAATTGCATCACGAGTTTTACCAAATAAGAAGACACCAAGAGCTCATAATTGACAATGCTGGTAAAGTCTCATCATTATCATCATTGAAGAACCAATGTTGATATCCTATCTGGCGCTCGGCGCCCAGACTACAGATGGCAGATCCTATCTAGCCTAGACTACAATGCCGAATGATGACGTCAACAGCTTTCCCGAAGTACGAGCATACAGCGACCAATGTCGCACGCTTCCAGCACCAGGTATGTCTCTCGCCTCACTCACAACCTCGTTCCCCAACACACAGATGCCACTTGCACCCAAGKACCACCCTGYGCCRCACCCAGCTTACAGCAGCGCAGCTCGGCTATGGCTGCCTGCTCCTTCCCTGCTCGCCCGTGAGCGCGTAGGCGCCAGCCAGCAAATAGTGCAGCAGTGCTTGCGCAGCATGCAGCCAGCACCCAAATGGCGAATGCGGAGGCAGGCCCTTCGCTATATTGAAGTGGTCTGCCTGTGTCCAGTCCCAGGAAGCTTCCAGTAGGCCCCGGTAGCCTGAGGCCCAGCACGAACGAGAACAGGCCTTGGGCCTGAGGTGGTTGCATGCACCCAACTGCCTTTGGCCTGTGTTCGGCCCAGTACCCGTATCCAGCCCAGGGCCTGCTTTCCATACATTCACACAGGCGGCCCAGGCCCTGGGTCCTCTCAACCAGCTGGTGCTGCGCAGCTGTGTGAATTTCCTTGAGTTGCGTGGTGACCAAAATAGGGCGCTGAGGGCCTCGTCGAGCCTGCCTTCACTTAGGGAGGCCGACTTGCTTATAAGGGGGCTCATAGAGGCATTGGCCTCGCATATCTCTGTGTAACCCAAAAAAAAAAAACTCCTGGCTTTTTGAAATATAAAAAAAAACTCGTTCCATTGTCTTTACGTTTTTGATTTTTTAAAGATATAGTAAAAGCCATGGTAACCCCGGACCCGGACACCGGACACTTCCGGACCAGTGTCTGGACTGGTCCGGACTGTCCGGTGATCCGGACATCACTGGACACCGGACAGTCCGGACCGGTCCCGGGGTGCAAAAATATCCGGAACCAAAAAAAGAAAAAAGGTGGTGGTGGGGGGGAGGTTGGGTGGGGGTGTTGGCAGGCACTTACCTGCTTTGCACTCTGTAGTTCAGGCAGCAGAGCACGTGTCTTGCAGCAAATCAGCCAGCACATTTAACTAGCAGACATGCAGAGTTGCAAACAGTGCAAAGCAGGCACAAGACTAAAGAAACAGAGAATTTAAAAAAAAACAAGTATGATCAACTTTGAACTTTGAACTTTGGATTTAGTAATTTAAGTTCATATTACTTCATAACTTCATATATAACTTAAAAGTTCGAACTTTGCAGTTCAATTCAGAACCTCAGAGTCTTCAGACTGGCAGCACTGTCAGTGCTCTCTCTCTCTCTCTCTCTCTCTCTCCCCCCCCCTCCCCCCCCTAACGGGCAGGAGCGGCAGGTGCCACGTTGAAACGGCCGCTTTGAAATTGCTCGGGCCTGTGCGAAACCCGCCACCTCAGAAACCTGCAGTGTCTTGTGTCTGGACCTCTAGGCCATGTCCAGTGGGGTGAAAGGACACTTAAAAATCACCCCATTATTTTTTTAGGGGCGGCTAGGACCCGACAAACGTCCTGGGCCGCCCCTTTTTTTTTTCAGATTTTTGCCCCAGGGGCCTCCATCCAGACATGGGGACCGGACACCGGACTGTCTGGAACCCGGTCCGGACGTCCGGGCGGTTACCATGGTAAAAGCTCTAAAAAATAAAAATAAAAATATGAGGTTGTAGAGCTCAAAAAGATCTGTAACCCTTCTTTTTTTTTTTTTTTGATTATTTTTAGCCCGCGAAAAAAATCATTGCGGGTCCCGTTGTAACTTGTCTAACGGGCTTTTCAACGGAGATTCAACGCGGATTCAACGCGCATTGAATCTTTCACCGCGGAACCCGCGTTGGATCGATATTCGGACACATAGCTTGTACGTGATTGGGACACAGTAAGAAGGTAACTACAAAAACAAAGAAAATGGGAGGCCTCCCAGTGCTAGCCGATGAAAATATAATCAAGAAAATGATATAACAAAGTTCTTGTGTCTCGTATTGTTTTTAATGCTTGGTTGGCCCATCTCAAGTGTGTTGCATCGCTTTTGTAAATGTGAGATTTCTTGCTTGTTTAAAGGTAATGCAAGGAATATGAGTGTGAACGATACACAGAAAACCAATGTTGCGAAATCACACAGATGTCTAGGTAGTCGTATCCAAGCAGAGAGTACAAAATGCACCGAGAAACCATCAATATAGAGCAATACAATGAAGTAATGAGGCAATGTTCAAGCCCGTAGGCCACTCCAACACAGTATCCAAAGTCGCTCCTCTCTGTCTGGCGCCCAGCGCCCAACCTACTCTGCCCGACTATCCTACCTACAGCTGGTTCACGCAACAGGCTCACTTTGACTCTCGAAGACCAATGTACATGACTATCAACTCCATAGCCGACCTCTCTTCATGCACCAGGTACGTATCTCGTCACCCTCAATCAGACCTTGATTACCCCACACTGCGCCTCCTTCCCTGAAGACCACCAGATCACCCGCTGTACCCCCTGGCGCCCAGCAGCCCGGCTATGGCCGCCTGCGCCCTGCTGCCCTGCAGCACCACTTCACCACTACGCGCCCCTTCAGCGCCCTTGGCAGCAGCGCAGCATCAAGCGATAGCGCAGCAGCACTTCCGCATTGCCTGCACTGGCCAGAATGCCTGGCCTGGACTGCCCTACTCCTTTTGTGGAACTGGCAGCCTCTTGGATGCTGCGTGTGGCCTGCCTGAAAGCTTCCAGTAGCTTCCGGTTGGGCCTCAGACCCTGCGCCCAGGCCAGAGACAGTTGGGCATTGCCTGAGTCTCCAGACTTGGGCTGTTTGCTGCATCTGTGCAGGGCTCCCAGGCAGGTGGGTCGGCAGTACTGCTTTTGCAAAGGCCGATGACCTGCTTCCCAATGTATCGGCCTTGCTTTGTGTGTATGTGCCCAGGGGCAACTGTCAAGGCCTGGGCTAACTGTATGACGCAGCTTTGTGAGGCTCATGCGTCTATCCAACCAACTGGCTTGCTGCGAGAGCCTGAATACCCACAAATCGAAATGTCGAAATTTGCCTCTGACGAATATTCAGGCCCGCCTTCACTTAGGGCGGGCACTTGGCTTGCTGGGGGCCTTAGCCCAGATCATGTGATGTCTGACAGGGCCCCTTGAGGGCTTGTTCCTCACAGTAAGGTTCTGAATAGATATCGACTTCACAAGCAAAACTGTTTCATTGGTGGATTGGCTCATCTTGAGAATGCTTCATTGTTTGCAATACAGGAAAAGTTGCTATGACTTTGAATTTTTCTTCTGGGTGGAATAGGGGAAGTTGTGGTGATATTTTATAACACACGCACACACAAACTCGTAATGATGACACACACACATGCTCTCTCTCTCTCTCTCTCTCTCTCTCTCTCTCTCTCTCTCTCTCTCTCTCTCTCTCTCTCTCTCNTCTCTCTCTCTCTCTCTCTCTCTCTCTCTCTCTCTCTCTCTCTCTCTCTCTCTCTCTCTCTCTCTCTCTCTCTCTCTCTCTCTCTCTCAGTGCACACTGCTAAACCAGCGCACTGCGCACTGTGCAACGGCGCGCACCGCGCAGCGCACACGTGCGCCGCAACTATGGTTTCTGTCTATCGCTCTCCTCATATTCTTTGCACTTGTGAATCCACAGAGCTATAAAGAAAAACACCATGCAGAGGAGGGTTGCAACCCTCGGCAGTCTCAGATTTGGGGCAGTGCACATCCAGGTAGTCTACCATGTGGAGAAACAATCACTACACACGGTAGACAGTAAGGCTTAGAGAGAGACATTCTAGATGGTTGGGACAAAATCTGAAATCCCGTGGTCTTTGTTCTTTTGCAGGTGGTGGCTTGTAGTGATTCAACGTGGGATGCATGCAAAACATGGAAGCAGTTCTCTCTGCCAAGCAAAGATCTCCTTAATGTGCCAAACATAAAGCCTCATAATTGCTTGCTTTTCATGTACAACATTCACTCAAGAAGGCTTCATGGTGCATTCCAGTCGCTGGCCAAGGGTCTTGACGTAAGTTTTTTTATTATGTCCTGTAAAGAGTACTAAAGACCCGTAAGGACATTGCTTATTTTCTTTTATATATAAAAGATTCTTTTTTTTTTTTTTCTTTTTCTTTTTTTGGGGGGGGGGCAGATTAAGGGCATTCTCACACTACCTTCTTAACCCGAAAAAAACGTACGTACATTCTATTTGAATTACCTCTGGAAATCGGGTTTTCAGAAATCACTTGTTTTTCCCCGAATAGAACGTACGTTCGAATATAACGTACGTACGTCGTATTGAAATACAACGTGCGTATGTTGTATTCAAAATTTTGGAACTTTGATTTTTCAAAAATAATCAAAAAAATCGGAAAAAAATAAAATGTTATACAACAATGCAATACAAACAACATTTGCCTGATGGTCTTATCGAAATTCACGAGAAAATTCGGAAAAAAAATAAAAACGAGGGTGAAAATGTCATGGTAACCCCGGACCCGGACACCGGACACATCCGGACTGTCTTCTGGACCAGTGTCTGGACCAGTCAGGACTGTCCGGTGATCCGGACATTACCGGACATCACCGGACCCGGACAGTCCGGACGGGTACCAGTGGTGCACAAATATCCGGACATAAAAAAAAAAAAAGAAAAAAAAAACGGGGGGG